TTTGTAATCTCTGTCATAGGACAACATCTTATTATCCTAATAATTAGACAATTTTTTTTGTAAGTATTCTGCTACTCTTAGTCTTTAGAATGTTCGAGCTAAATGCACTCCTTATGTTTAGTACTTTGACCGCTTACTTTTTCGTTTTTCTACCATTTCTTTTCTCAAGAGACTTACAGTAGATTTACTCTTTTAGAAGACGTACTGGTCAGTTTAGTAAAATCCATATGTTTGGAGTCAAATAATGAATTTTAAGATTTTGTCTATAGTTTTTAACAATAGGTAAGTTAAGTTTATATAATCTGGGTTGTTGTGGCGAATATGATGCTTTAAGCATAAATCTTTAGTTTTTTCAAAGATTTGAGAATGATGCATATTCTAAATATCTGTTAAACCTATGCTACCATAATACTTCTGGTGTAGCCGTTATTCCTGTTTGATATACTATTTCGTCTAGATGATTTGTTACTAAAAACTCATAGAAGAGTTTCTTGCACTCCGTTATTAGTAATATCCCTACAATAGTATTCTAAATGCCTCACATTTTTTGTGATCCGGTAAAAATTGCTAGACCTTCGCTTGAGACCAATTGCTTTTTCCTTAAATAGGTGTAATGGAATGAAGTAACCAATCAAATTTAGGTTATAAAATTTTCAAATATCTCATATATTTTTTATTTATCAACACGTGATATTTATTGATCAGTTATAAATTGATAGTTTAAATATCAAATTTGTTCAGCAGGTTGTTTTGTATATAATTGTACAATATATATTTATTTTTAATTACATTATAATTCTAGTATGTATAAAAAAACATTAATAATAAGTATTTAATTTAAACATTATTACTATTTGTACTAAACCTTCTAAATTAATAATCAACAACATCGTGAACTCCATTGCACTAATCATAGAACACAAGGTCTTGAAATTCCAAATACACTTCAAATTAATTGAATTATATGAATGAATAATTCTTCTGTATACGTCATACTTCACTCATCAATCATGTAAGGCATTAAGCCCAAATAAACCCAAATGAAACCCGGCAACATAACGTATTGCTTACCTCGTGGTACTTAACATTACTAAAGGCCAATTATAAACTTTTCTGGCATTAAAATGTTTTGTTTAAATATTTAACAATGAAAAGCAAATAATGCTCATTTTAATTCGGTTGAAACGAGTTTTTAATAATCCAAAAAAGTTTGCATAAAAAACCACAAAAAAAGATAAAAAAATGTTAACCGTATTTCGTGCCACTTCCGGTTTGAGTTCACCTATATTTGTTAAAGTTATTTTTAGCTGTTAATAGGTTTGTCTTTTTCCCTTTTTTATGTGGAAATTCATGGATTTTTACTTTTTACTACGACGAACCCTAAAATCGTTAATATCTGACGACCCCACACAGCAGATACCAACACAATATTTCTCTTGCCTCACCAGCTACCAGCTGCTGCCTTTCTTCTTTGTTTTTTAATTTTTCTTTTTTGTAGATTATCTACAGATAAATACCTCTTCTTTCTTCACAAGTCTATTTTTTTCGAATTATGATTTCGAGAGTGAAAGTTCTTTCTTTCATATTTTAAGTGTTTAGCTCTCCTCACACAAAGTCGCTGCAACTGTGGTTGTCTGTTTGCTTTTAAAATTTTGTTAATTTTTGTATTATTTTTTTTGGCTTTATTTTTTGTTGTAATTTAGGGTTCCATAGCAGAATATAGTGTTTCAAAGCATATATGTTAGAAGATTTTTGAAATTATATTGTGAAAGTAATGAATCCTGATTTAGATAATATATATTATAAGTATTAAGTTAGACTGGTTAATATCTTGATGACTCGGTCCACGTTTTTGTGGCCTTATTAAAGGCTGTGTGTCTACTCTGTAAACGAGTTCATTAGTTGTCAATAGCGTCCCATTATTACATTATTTAAACGGTATCACAAAGTTAATCTGGTTCTCTGGTAATTAGTAGAAAATGTTTGCCTTACAAATTTACGCCTATGAACTTACGAACTGTGACAGTTTCCTGCTTGCTGGGCCATGAATGTTTTGGAAGTAATAAGTTTATATCATATTATAGACTTTTCAGTTTTTAACCGGTCCTTTAATGGTGCCATTCATATCTATTCCAATTCCTATCTTTTACTATTCCTAAGCAAAATTGTCTTATGTTATTAATATTGGATTTCCTTTGCATATTAATTTAATAAGTCCTAATACATTTTTAATTCATAATTATTTTTAATTCGCATACACAATTTGATAAGTTTCCCTCTTTTTTATAAAAACACCGTTTTTCATCTCTGATTTTCATACGACAGCATAATCCATAAACAGTTCTAAGTGATCTTACTGTAGTAACCTATAGTAATCTTAAATTTACTTTCTTCTGATTGTTTAGTTTTAGTGACAGCAGACTATTCACTTATTCTTATAGCTGGCAAAGATCTATAAAGCAGTTTGCAAAGGATACATACAAAGGAGTTACAAAGAGATGCAAATACATGGGCTAGGAAGTGGATTGAAATTTTTAGTATAAGTGGGGAGGGAACTAGTTAGGAGTAAGAATCGATTGTGGGATGGGTAGATTATTCTCTTCCATCCAAGTAGTGTATGAGCGCGTTTTGGTTACCTTACATGTTTATTTGAGATTTTCTCTAGCGTATCCGCCAGGCAAGGCGTATATTTTCATTGTCGAAAATGTTTAACTTTTAAGGTTTTCTTTTTTTTAAATTTTCAGTTGTTTCTTTTTCCTCTTCTATTGTACAACATCTGCACTTGTTACGATTTATCTTACAGACTTACATCCTGAAATGCCTTAGTAATTACATTGAAAGCATTTTAGTTGTTTCTTTTTTGTACTTGCAACTTCTGGACTTCCTGCTAAAGGTAATACCTGACTTTTCGGCATGAATACCTTCTGCCGAATGGCTATCTTCATTATATTACTCAAGCTTGCACTGTAAAAGGTTTTCATAAGCGTTAAGGAAATCAGCGCAGTCCAAATAAAGCTAAACTTTTTTAAAATTTTTAGTACACAAAATTTAGTGGTACTAAATAATATTATTTAATAAATACGAGAGACCTTTGCACAGAGATAGTAAATAACATATCGTGAATGCTGTTCAGACTGTACTTTAATGTAAAATGATGAAATCGAATATTAAAAGTTAAATATTACCTTTTATGATAAGTTATAAGTATTATTAAAGAAAAATTTGTAGTATTGAAGACTTAAACTGAAAAATAAGTGGAAAGTTTATTTCCACACTCAAACACTCAGTTTGAGTAGGCAGTCTAAGAAGAAGAAGAAGAATAAATACAAGTATAATCTATATCTATAATTTTATTCATTTTTTTATTGATTAAAAATTATTTTAAACTATAATTAAGAAGACTCTACTCTAGGAGAACAAACAAGTCTTTTTTATATTTATATTATTGTACAAAATATAAAAAATTAAAATAACATAAAAACAAAACACGTAAACATAAATTGTAAAAACAATAAAAAAATAATCATTTGCAAAGTAAACGTCTTTTATCCAAACATATGCATTAATTTTATATAATTTAAATATGTTTTATCTTAAAAAATACCTTGTTTATATGTTAAACAATTTTTAAAGGCTTACTAATAAACTTATCGATCAATGCATAATATATACTATAAATTATTGTAATATTATTAAACTTTTTACATTTACAATTTAAATAAAATATACAATTAGCTGCAAATAGCTGCTTCAAATTTTAACTTTTTTTTTATACGATTAAATACGTATTATGTATATATCAATTTTTATTAAAAAACATTTTGATTTCCCATTGTATTTTTTCTTTTTTTTTTTAATTGATTTTTGTTAATTTTTTATTTAAAAATATATTTATTATATATCGGCAAAATTTACTAAATTATATTCGGAGAACTACGTTAATATCTTCTGCTAAATACTATTAAATTTCGTTTATTGAGCGTGTTCAATGCAAAAATAAATAAAAAATCGTGCAATTTTTGTAGAATCCGAAAACTTTATACAGTTTCTTCTATGTTCGGTGTATAATAAATTACGTACGTATTGTGTTGCTCTGAATTTTTTAATATATATTCTCGTATAATAAAAGCTTTACATTGTTAAGAAACCTTAAATGTATATAAACATTAGGATTTCAAAATATTGAAATTTTCAAAATATTAATTTAATAAAAATTTTTAAAAAAATGTATCTATTTCTATTTTGTTCATATGTTATTTATTTATTAAATTAATTTTTATATATTAAAAAATTGTATATTTCTATATAAATTTTATTATTATATTATACATTCACACGATATTTATTTCAAAATTTATTATGCATTATATAAACAAATTTAACACAAAACAAAACAACATAAAAAAATTTAACTAAATTAAAAACAGGAAGTATTTAAATATAAAAATGTACTATAAAATATTGCAATTAGTTTTTTTTCTGATAATAAATAATACTCAAAACATTTTTAGAAAATAAAGTTTTTAAAGTATATAAAGCTTTTTCCAAATCATAAAGTAAGAAAATAAATTTGTAAAATAATTCTTAACACTTTATAATGAACACTTATCTTCAGAACAGTCAATTTATATATTATAACAAGATAATCATTTCATAATTATACAAAATAAAATTAGTTGCCTTTTTTGTTTTTTTTTTCTTTTTTGTTTTGCATTGAATATAGTTTTTATTTCACGATTTCTATACATTCCGTTTATTCTTATTTATATATACTTATAAAGAAACGTTAAATATAAGATAAAATTCATTAATGTGTTATAGCTATTGCAAATACATTTATCAAAGTTTAATTCGTTAGATATATATATAAATGTATTTATATATTATAAATATAAATATTTATATTATATATATAAATACTCCTATATATTAATTATAATATTTTTATATTACATATATAAATATTTTTATGTTATATATATATAAATATTTTTATATATATTATATAACTATATTATTATAAATAAATATTATATATATATACAGTATGCTCTCGATAATCCGAACTTCGCGGTATTCAGGCGTAATGTTCATTTATAATTTGTAATCCAGGTAAACTTACTTTAATATTTCAGACCCAAAACTTTGTACTTCTTTCTTTAACTTAATTCTCGTATTTCTTATTTCTATACGAATAATATTTTTAAATTGTTTTCTCTCTTAGCTGTTTATATATGGTATATGGTATGAACTGGAAAGTTCATTTTGTCATATATGTTATACATGTACAAGATATCTTGCATAAATTATCACTCACGAGATATCACCATCTTTATACTATAGTATATGGTAATTTATTACATTATTAGTAAGTATCAAAATTTTTTGTCAATCCGGGCAACTCTTGGAACATTATTGTCCAAATTATCAAGAGCATAATGTATACATAATATTTATAAATGAAACTTTATAAAATTTACATTTGTCATAAACTTTGTATAAGAAATTATTTCTTTGATTATAAACGCATGCATTTGTTAAACTTACTGTCTTTGTGTATGCAGTGTATAATGTTTTTGTTTACAGCTTTTCTTTTAAATTATTTAATATTAACAATATATTTTTAACTTAATTAAAGTTAATTATTATGTACAACTATCAGGGTGCTGACTTTGTTTTCGTTTGGATTTTGTTTCTTTCGGATGCTCAATAGATGGTCGCCTGGGGTTTCCTAATGTGACTAACGCACTAGCAACAGCCAAACCGGCTGATTGACCAGCGGGTGCATGTTGTAAACCACCTTAAAAAGTTATTTTTAAATTATTGCATTGTTAAAGTAAATACTCTTTATCCTACCTGTCGGTAAACGCACTAATAAAGACAGCACAGCCGCGCGGTTACCACTGCAGGGTTCTAAAGCAATTGGACTTGGGCAATCCTAAATAAAAAGTTTTAAAAACATTTTAATAATGACATAAAAATCAATATCATATATATATTATAATTAAATATGTATATAAATGATTATTTACTTTTTTACGCTTTTTCGACATATGCGTTACGCCCTCCATCGTTTGAGTTAAATCAATGGTTTCCCGATTTTCTATCTCTACCAATACCTACAATAATAAAATTAATAATATTAAATAAAAATACGTATAAAAAATGTAAAAATTTTTAACCTGTGAGAATGGACGACTAGCCATTTGCTCCATTTCTACAAATAAACGTTGTCTCCTTCTAAACATATCATATTTCTGTTTGATTTTCCACAATATCGCTGCCATCAGCAGCAATAGCAGAAAACAAGTAGAGAATGTAATGAAAAATTGTTGTAAATTCAATTTAGGGTATTGGGAAAATGCAATTTGTATCCATATGGGTGGCTGGAAGTCGTGCACAAATACATAAAATGTCGTCAAAGAGCTGTTGTCATCGAGTGAATGTCCAAATGCGTATTCTGTTTTCGGGAAACGATGTCGGAATGTAGAACAGTTAATGCCAACAAAAATTAGTTTTTCAGGTGCACCGACTCGCTTCACAGATATATCCATTTTAGCCGGCACACTACATGTAATCGTGAAATCAGCATCAACTTCTGGTTTTACAGGTGAGTTTCGAAAATTAATTTGTGTAAAATGACGATCCTCTTTTTTAGATAAATTAAAAGTAAATTGATAATCAATAGTCAATTCATAGTAACAGGACGATTTCAATGGATCACCATGGTAATGATTTTGTGAATCACATTTCTCGCAATGATCACCTACTATACCCTTCGTATTACAATAACATTTTCCTGTATCTGGATGACAATACTCGCCTTGGTTATTGCACTCACATTTTTGACATTGGCCACCATTTATGGGATTACCCCAATAACCGTTACGACACTTATCGCAATGATTGCCATAAGTCAAATTTGAGCACGGTTGCTCACAATGTATATGATCACTACAGTGCGAATGTCCATTACAGTTGCATGGTGGACAAGACGTAAAATGCCAATGTTTATGTGGACATTCCGTTTTATCATAAGGTGCTAAAGCACCACCAACTATACACTTTCCAAGACCAGTGTTAGAACCATCATCACACCAGCCACATGCCGGATCATCTAAACACTGAGCACAACTATTATAAAAACCACACTGTGCACTAGAGAGTGCTGTAGTAGTTATACCAGCTGGCATGGATCGGCACTTAGAGGCATGTGTTGTCCACTCACGACATTGCCCATATGGAAAACTCGCAGTATACGCATTACGATCAACGCAACGCTGTTCATTCTGACACCATATGCAATCTTCTTCGGTACAGTTGTGGCAAGTTTTTAGAGAAGCGCATGGCGGTGGACAAATAATTTCTTCAACTGTACGATTAACATGCGAATTTGTCGGCCTACAACGATTATGTTCAGGTTCCCAATTGCAAGCGAGATTTGCTGAACAAGCATGACAGCTATGTAGTTGCTCGCAGATAGAACTAATAAGAAAGTCTTCAGAATGTGGACATTTGTCTAAACGTTTAACAGTCATTAAGGGCGATGTATAAGAAGGTGTTAACTGTTGATGTTGTGCAGGAGTATCATATGATACAGTTGAAGCTAAAGATGTTTCACGACATCGCGCCTTGCTACAAATACCATTACCGCAATAAGTACAACCGAATGTATTGGATAGACATGATTGGCAATTGGTAAGCTCCCGACAGCGTGACACATCACTAAGCAATTCCGAAGTCATTGTTATGCGACTTTTAGGGGGACACGCAACATACTCATATTGGTCGCGACCATATATGGCTGAGCGCGGTACTTGATTAATAGCAATGCAAAGCATCTTCTGCACATCCCAGATGCATTTAATACCTGGACGCGCATTTGTACACTTCTCTTGTTTTGTGTAATAGTTGCAATCACCTGGAGTATAGCGCAACATATCATTAAGTAGTTGTCCGTTAAAACCACCATATATGTAGAGTGATTGCTCAAACACAGCTGAGCTATGACCAAACCTAATAATATTTACAGCTACTTAGTATGCTTCTTTATATGTAATCAATTTTTTTATTATTAAACTTACCTTGCCAAATCCGCTTGGAGGTGAGCGGGCATATCATGCATATGCCAGGAATCACAAAAAACGTCATAAACTAACAAGTCCTGACTGTAGCATTTTGCGCCATAGCTTTGAGATGTGTCGTTATGCGTGTTACCGCCAAATACCATCATAAGGCCTTCATTTATAAAATTTGCTGTGTGTAAGAGTCTAGCACTTGGTGCTGCTGATAAAAGTGTCCAGGTACGTGTAGATGGTTCATAAGCATATAACTTTGTGCTTAAGACCTGGCTGGCTTCGCTCTCAGACACTATACCACCATACACGTATACTTTTTCTGTTAATAAATCATAAGCAGCACTGTGACCGAATCCGCCTTTAACCACATAACCATTAGTTTCAACGATTTTCCATTCACGTGTGCCGAAATTAAATTCTTGCACCGTATTGAGATAACCATACTGTGGTGAATGACCAAAGATAACAATCATGTATTGATAATTATTTTTATCACCAAAACCTGGCACCAAGGTTGCCGTATGTCCCGCTACACGTAAGGGACCACACATTGTATACGGTGTCGATGTTAAATTGCATGCATCCGTTTTCACAGTTATGTTTTCCCACGTTTTTGCAGATGCATCAAAAGCCCACAATTCATTCGTTATGCCTTTATTTTTTACTACACCACCGTATATGAATATTTTATCCCCATACATAACAGTAGAAACTGCATAACGTTTTTCGGGTGCACTGCTAGCCTCTTTTACATGCAAAGTTTCCCAAACGTTACCGTTAAAATCGTATGTAGTCATGAGTTCACCAGGAACATAAGATTCACCACCAATTATATGCAGTGTATCTCGCCAAACAGCCGCTCCATGTGAAGCTGTTCCTTGCGGTGATGTTGACTGTTTGGGATGTATTGTTGACCAAACGCCGGTTGCTTTTAACTGACTACAATCATTGCCACCAAATTCTTTCTTACAAATGCACCTTAAAAATAAAATAAATTTTAAAATTTAAATTTTAATTTTAATAATTAATGAAAACCAATACGAACCTTTCTTCTTCAATTTTGCATTCTCCCTGGTCTTTGTCTTCTGAACAATTGTTTGGACATACCGCTGTATTACAAGCTTCACCCCGATATAACGGATCACAGATGCAAGTGCCATCCACGCACTTTCCATGCCCAGAACAATTTAAAGCTGATAAAAATGAAATGAGTATAAAATTATTAAATGTCATAACGTAAAAAAATTTAGAATTTACCTTCGGAACTTGTTGGACAACCATTTACTTTGTACGATAAATTAAAACCCGACATATTATAGGCATCATCACTAAAAAAATGCAAAAGCGCTGTACCCGAGCGTGCAATTACTTCAGGCACACTCCGTATTGAAAAATTACCCCTATACATCAGTCCGCTAAAGTTGTTGAAAACAAAGAATATTAAAAAACAACTTACTAAAATTATTTAAATTAATTTTATAAATACCTGAATACAGCCAATAATGGAGAATCCACACTATCTCCATCGTATATATACAAATGATCCCATCCACATTCTGTAGCAAATTCATGCAAATGCATACGTATCGTGGGTGGCGGATCCGTACTTTGTCTATGGCTGGAGTGCGAGTGACGTGGATCTATAAGCCAACTGCATTTAACACTTACTGAATAATTACCCCAACCATCGTGTATAGTACCGACTGGATTATGCATTCTGAAAACAAACAACGACAGAAAAACAAATAAATAAATAAATGTTAAGCAATTATTGTATTTAAGATTATTTTTGTACGAAACGTGATATTAAATGCAAGACCCATTATTTTCCTTATGCAAATTGATTTATAGTTCCGCATGAGGCGCCGCATGGCACTTCAGCCAGAACGGCAAATGCTTACGATGAATGCATCGCTTCGCTGCAAAAAGTTTGTTTTCGATTTGTTAGCTTGACTTTTTCACCAATAAATTGTTTATATTTTATTACTTTCAGTGATTATTGAGAAAATATTATACCGGATTTAAATATATTTAATTTCACTTTTTGTTTTTTTGCTTTTTGCATTTTGTTTGGAATTTAAAAGTCTATTAGAATGGCTGTCAATTCCACCTATGTCTAAGGTAAGAGATATTAGTTTACAACATCTGCTTTTTAAGTAATTATAATATTTAGTTAATTTGGTTACACAGAAGGTATTATAGAGTATTTGATATTGTTTAAGACCAAATATGATCATAAATTTGTTGGTTCAAAATCATAAAAAGTAGCTTTTTGAAATGTTGATGATATTGTTTGGATCATGTTTCCAATATTGAGACATCACCTGAACATTTATAATTTATAATCAATAGAAAAAGAGTTATATATACCCATATAAAATAAAAAGCATCAGCCGTTCTTTATCACTAGATGGCGTTTGTATCCATACATTTGGCAATATTAAACCGATTATGTCAAACGCACGGTGATATTTTAAGCTACATTTTCTGTCAAGGCAGTTGTGTAATTCCTCTTAGTATAAAATGTAAGTAAGTAAGTAAGAGTTTATTAATTTATCACTATTACAGATATGCTTTTATAACACAATGATCCTTATACAGAGTACATAAAATAGATAGATTAAGTAGATTATTTGAGACAATAACTATTAAGTTGTCTGTCTATTAAAGTATATAAAAGTATAAAATGTTATATTGATTTAAAAATGAGTGAAATATCTGAAGAAATACGCTATGCAACGTTTTATTACTAAAAACATTTGAAGTTGCTGCAAAAACATGCCGAAAAATCTGAACCGTTTAAGGCGAGAATGCTGTGAGTGCAAGCCGGACTCAGGAGTAGTTTGCTCTGTCATCTCGGAAGTCAAAAATGCACCTCATTCTGGTCGGGCAGACTCTAAAGCAGTCGATGAAGTTTTGCAATTGGTGAAGTAAGATCAAAACGAAAACTGTCAGGAGACAGCTGAGGCACTAAACATAAACCATATGAAGTTGATATAATTTATATGACGCTCGATGTTTGGATATCACTTACGTTAAGACAATGGAATTTAAGTGACCAAAATGCCATAAGTGACAACGGGTATAGTTAACGCAACCGATTATAGTCATAGGATGGTAACAATCTACAAACGACTACAAAAACTAAATTGACGACAAAGAAGGTTATGTTAAGAATTTGGTGGGATTGGATTGGAATTATATATTATGATTCATTCCACTGTGATTAAACGGTTAAACGGTGCTCTACTGTTCACAACTCAACGGCTTGAACGAAGCAACTAACGGAAAGCGACTAAAACTAGCATACAGAAAAGAACTTTAGTTCTATCATGATAATACCAGGACACTAACATCTTCAGTGAGTCGGAATTATTTAATGGAACTGGGTTACGAAATTTTTATACATCCACCGTATAGCTCAGACCTTGCACTATCTGATAATATTTTATTTAGTCTCCGAATAATGTAGCAAGTTCATAGTTAATTAATACCAAATAATATAACTGGTACTAAGAAATATACACGAGCATTCTGCAGAGCAGCGGAAGGGTTTGGTAAATTTTCATATGATTTTTGTTTTCGTAGCAAATTAAGCAATAGATAATGCACTCTGTTTTTTTGTGATATAAGATATTTATGATTTTCATGCTGTATCAGCTAAATAAATTATGTTATCTTGGTCGAAAAAAGATAAAATAAATACACCTGTTTATAATATAAATATTTCTTTTGTGCTTTAACCTATTTCATCCTCGCATTCATATAAGTTCTGTTGCACCTTACACCTTACACCATTGAGTTGCTATAAATAAATATATGGCAAGAAGCAAAAGACGATTAATAATGTATATAAAATAAATAAATTTTTCAATTTAGTAATTAAAAACTCTTTCTCTAAAAATTGATAGGGAATTAGAAACAGTTTAAAATATATTTCAAAGAAAAGTAGTCAATCAGACTGTCAAATTATTCCTTAATTTTATAAAAAAAGGCTATTTTCTGAATTGAGTTAAAGCCAAGACAACTGAAGTTTACGCAAATAAAACGCAAATTCAATAAATTTATTTCACATTAGATAATGTTAGATTATTCTGGAAGGCGGTAGGTCATACATAAACACATTGTTTCTTAGCGACATTGAAGGTATCTTACTGAGATAGAACTACTAAGCATATATCTACTAAGGCGCATCTTAACCTATGTGTACATTTCATTAATTCCTTTCATGTTATCTGCTTGATTGTTGTTGTTGATGTTATAGTCCGCAAGAATCTAGAAAGCAGATAACAAGGGAATTACAAAGACGTATACATGGGTTAGGATGTGTATAGGTTATGCTAGTGTGAGAGGGAAGGGGACTATGTAGGAGTATAAATGGATTGGGGATAAGTGAGATTTAAATTAAAGTCAACTAGATCTAGTCAATCTAGCCACTTAAATGGGTTTGGTTACATTACCAACAATATTCACAACTAGACCTTTGTGAGATTTGAACACAAATGCCGTGCATTATTTCACATTAAGTACTAATAGATTTTATTATTATTACAAGATATGAATCTTTGAACATTTTGCAAATATTTATAAATGGAAATTTTTAACCATAAATACTTAATAACAAATTGCACATATTAACAATATAAGTATCTATAAAAAAAACTATCTGCAATAAACTAAACAAAATTCTTATCAAATTTGAAAAGTTATATTTAAACAATAATAAGGTAATTTATTTCGAAATTATCAAGAGGTATGACTCAATCGTAGAAAGTTATAATTTAATCGAGGAATTCAACTTTCAAGAGCTTTAAAGAATTAATTAGAATAAATTCAGATTTACATGTATTGATGTGTGTCTATTATCAGTAAACATGCAAAAAGTCAGTGTTTCTATGGAGCAGCAGCGAGTAAAAGTTTTATGATATACAAGTGTAATACTTTATGTCAATATGATATCTTAATACAGGAGTATAAATATATTTTTATTATATTATTGATAATAACAAACTAAGTTGTAGATACCACATGATTAAAGATAGAATTACACGTAGTCTGGTGTAAAATTTGTTGTATTTCCACTTCTGCTTTTAGCTTTAAATGAAGCATGTATGCATGGAAGCATGAATTGTGGATTTTTTATAATAGAGCGATGTAGCCGTAAATGCAGATAAGACATTAACCCGATGATGCATTGAAATAAAGGTATATGTGGTAAGATGGTAAATTGCAACGTATAACACACTGTAGCACATGTAAGGAAATAAATATATTAATCAAAATATTTTATCAATCATAATAAAAACAATATAGTAGATAAAATTAATTAATATAAGTTCGACTAATAACTTTATCCCAACTACGGGTCATGTAAAAAAGCGTATTGGATTAAAAGAACTGAATGCAATAAACTGTTTATAAAACTATCATTTTTGAGACTTTAATAGTATTAACAATGCTAAAAAACAAAGTTAATACCAAGTGTATTTATAAGTTTCTTCCGGTTTAAATAACAGATGGCACTAGCAAAGAGTACGCAGCGTATTAATTGGTGACATATGTCATTATGTTTGTTAATTAATTAAACTACGAAAAATATAAGTTGAGTTCGCCAAAATCGATCATATTTGTTTCATTCTTCAGTGATCAATAGTTCGCTTATTGCGTTGGTAACACTTTTTTTATAGGCCGATGTGTGTACTAATACTGGCCGAGGTAGAGAAAATAGTGTTTCTGTTTTGCGTACATTTCGGCCAGTATAGGCCAGCAATTTCCTGTTTTTTGCCGTACTTGCGAGCCACCGAAAAGGCTTATTATCAAAAGAAAAAGACTGTTGGTAGTTATCATTTGCTGGTAGAAGCATATGGTGAAAATTCTCCATCGATTAGAATATGTGAGACATGATTTTGACAACTTAAAAGTGTTGATTTTTATGTGCGAGATAGTGTCGCTTTGGCAGATCATAAAACTGCCAAGACAAGCAATTGTAGGAGTTATTGGATGATGACCCAACTAAAACTCAACAGCAATTGACAAAAATATTAAATAGTCATAAGAAACAATCAGCAGTCGTTACGAGCAATGTGGAAAAGATCAATAAACTGGATAAATAAGTTCCCAAAGGGTATAAATGCTCCTTTAACGTGACGAAAGGAAATAATTTTTGTATTAAATTGTGACTGCTGACAAAAATGGTTTTATTTTGAAAACCCGAAGCGGAAAAAATTGTGGATTTTAGTTAGTGACGGTGCTCCTTATAGCCGGTAGTACAACACAATCGCTTTGACGAAACCACCATGCTTTATGTCTGGTGCGACCAGAGCGGAATTGTGTACTATGAACGAAAGACGACCAGAATGGACCAAAAACATAAGAAAGTATTTTTGTTCCACGACATTTTGCCGTCTTACTCAGCAAAACCGGTGAAAGATACTTTGAAATCGCCTAAATCGACGGGACATACTTCTGCATCCACCGTACTCTCCAGTCCTGGCGCTATCTGTTTATTTCTAACAAATGACGGTACGTTCTATATTCCAGTTTTATGCCTAATTGGTATTGAGAAAGGTCACTTGTGTAACCAACCATTAACTTTGCCAATTACACATTTGCAGTGTAATTCAATTAAAATTTTTGTGTAGGTTTTAAATATAAACTATGATGTATATTTTAAGTATTAAGTATTTTAATAAAATACAAAACACAAAAATATTTATAAATTTAATACGTACAAGTTGGTATCAGTTGAATTAGTTAATCAAAACAATGTAAACAGTTGAATAATTTAAGCTCGTGCATTAAAAACAAGTTGGAAGAAAACGAAAACGGCCAGAAGAGAAGAGCAAGCGTAATCTGCTTCAGAGCGCACAATTCAACCAGAAGATATCAGAGTTAACCGTTTGTTGACACAATTAGCAGGCAACTGTTTGTTTTAACCAGTTTCCATACAAAAGGTGATATTAGCATTTAACTTAAAATTTTTTCTTTAAAAATTATGAATTTGGTTCAGATTTTTAAATACTATTATGCTTGGATTTGATTTTGACTTTGTAGCAATACTTACAATACTTTGCCACCACAGAATTGGCAGTCTGGTCCCTGCCAACCATCTGCACATAAGCACTGTCCATCTTCTTGACACTGGCCATCGTTTTGACAATGTCCGTCATGTGCTGTACAGTTATAGGCTGTGGTGCGACGCAGATTACTGAAGCAGCCATTAAATATTAATAACACCAGCAACGATAGACATTTCCGCCTATATTTTGCATTAAATGTGGGCGTACGCTGTGTGCTAGCGCTGCAGCAATGTATTAAGCAAGAGGAAGACGCGTGTGTTGACAGTGAAACTACTGCGGTTGTGGCACCATAATAATTTCTTTTTGTCGCCTTTTGCGTCGTGTGTTCCACACACATTTTTGCAAATATATTGTTTGGGTTTTAAAAAATTGATTTTTCCTTTTTTCTTTCATTGAATTTTACATCTTTCATAATAAATTATTGATTATATTTTTTACCAAATAAATTTTATTTAATTTTTTTTAAAAATATTTTCGTTTTCCTTTTGCGTATGTATTTTTCCTGCTTTCTTTGCGTTTTCACTGATTCCGCACTTATATTTATTTGCTATCACACACTTTTACACAAATCTTATCTTATACTTAAAAACTAATTCATATTTATTTTAGTAATTTTTCATAATCATTTTTTTTATTTTTAATGTTGTTAAATTAAACAATTTTAACGAAATATTTGCAAATTAAATTTTCCTTCTCCAGCTGAGCACAAATTTTCTCAACAAACGTCGCTGCATTTGTGTGGTGATGCCACCACGCTAAGTTGCCTACTGTCAATTCATTTTGACAGCAGCTCGAAGTTAATGTTTATTTGTGTGTGCGGAAATACACTGAAAGAATTCTTTGGTTCTACTTAAAAATTTATTTTCATATATTATATCAAATTGGTATATTGAGGCCATGTGCGAGTTCAAGTAAATTGATGGTAAATCGTGGGAAATAGTAAATTATATCGGTATGGCAGCGAATGTTAGTATTTACCAGAATTTCAAGTAGGATAAATTAGGTAAAACTAGATATTACCATTGTGAAAATTTTATAAAATGTTTAATAAATATATAAATAAATTTCACAAATTTCATCATCAATTTGCACAAACTCGCACACTTTTATGAGATAAATTGGTAAATAAGTGGAGTGCAAAAAATTCCTAGGAAATGTCAATTTATTTAACTTCGTAAGCTTATCCTACTTAATTTAATTCTTTATTTATTTATTTAAGCAAGAAATAATTATTCAATTTTGTGTTTTTGATATTACACGTGTCTGTTGTTTTATTCTTAGTTTTCCCGTAAAAAGAATGACAACCTTATTTTTACTAAATAAAAATATTATATTAGTTTTTAAAAATTTTCTTTTATGGTCAACTCATCTTATTTTTAATAATTTACTTGTCCGTATTTGCATGGCCAACCCATATCATTTTAAACATTAATGTGAATATGCAACCGCCACAACTTCAATTTACTTAAACTCGCACACGGCTTTAGTAAATTGCAATTTGGTGGTCATTTAAATTCTTATGTTAAAGAATAGTATTATAGTCTTATCTGAAAATACTAAAATGGGAAAGATTCAAAAACATTTTATGACAGATAACCATAATTATTGAATTTAGTAGTGAATATTTAACAATTTAAATGTATTTCCACATGTTAAATCAAATTCTTACAATTAGTCAATTAAAATTCCGTGGCCATAAACATTCTTATATTAATGTCGAAATAATGATGATAATAATATAAATTTTTTAAAACTAATTTAAAAAGTTGTATATTATTTTACATTAACCAATTAGTTAAAATAATAAAAAATTGTTATAGCTTTATGTGAAAATAAAAGAACGAGAAATTTTCGGACACCTGTTAATTTGACAGATAATTATAGTTTATGAATGCAGTAACACACAAGTGAAAAATACAGCAACTTATAGTAAAATATATATGTTATTGCAAGAATGAAAGCTTTAGTTGTTTATTCATGTTGTTGTGCTGTTAACACTTGTGACAAAAAGTCATCCGACACAAAATTGAAATTGTATTAAGTATTAAAAAAGACTTAATTTAGCATTTTGTTGAAGAAGCATAGTTAGTTTTGGAAGCTTAGTGCTGATAGCATTAGATATATGGTTTTGATAATTCCTATTGATATTTTATACATATTTTAAAGAGATGAAAGTGTTAATTACATTACTTGAAAAGTGAAGAAGGTATTTGAAAAATAGTCATATGTTAAAATATTTAAAAACTGAAAGTGTTTTATGTTCTACGATCCCATAACTAATAATCAATTAGCTCATTTATGTATACTAAAAGATTAAAGTAACAATGTTTTAGATATCTAAGTCATAAAATTGTGGCTGTACTGTGTACAAAACTGCAATTTCGCTGTTGACCAGCTTTAGACGCTCCCTCTAAAGCGCTTTTAGGCTTTGCAAAAGGTTCAAAGTGTTTTCTAAACGTTTGAGTTCTTATATGGAATCACAATGGGATCGGTATAACATTACCTTAACCTATAAAGGTTATAAATTTCACAAGGTGCTTACTACATCGCTGTAGTAATATTGATTAAGTAAAGTGTCTATATTTGATTTTAACATATCTTTATTTATATTCAGAATCATTATACAAAAAATATTTGTAAATCCCCCAAAAACAAAGTTTTTTATAAAAAATTTAATATTAACCATCTGCTGTGGTGAGTATGATTTTCAACAGAAAATTTGTTGAAAGCTTTTGCAAACGCACCTGTGACTTTATTGAGCATATTTATAAAATTTTCAGTAGTTATCCTAGCTGAACGGTGAAAAGATGTTTCAATTTCGGTATCAAGACATTTATTAGTTATTGTGTAAAGAAAATATAATTTATTTAGTTTTCTTAAATAAACACTTTTGAATTGTGCATTTTAATTAAATTAAAAAAATTTCGGATAAATTTTTATGTTAAGTACAATAATGCAAATAAAACGATTTTTGATAAATACTTAACAGAATTCCAGCACAGTGCGGCATTTATTAATTTTTTTTCAACCCCGTGCACACCGCCAACACCCACAAAACCAAGAGAAAATCGATTTTCCGCAGAAAGCAACAACAATAACAACAACAACATTAACAGTTTGTGAAATGTTCTGAAATTCCACCACTTGTCACTTTGACAAGTTCAGTGATAAGAAAATTCAACGAACACACATGGAAAAAAATATAACTGTTGTGTTGAGTTTGTGCGAGCGTAGCTTTTATGCTTTTGTATGTTTACTCTCAGTCTCCTTCTAGGCTTTGTGACGTGTAGTTGTGTTCAAAAATAAAATCGCGCGGATGTGTAAACAATTTTGTTGTGTAAAATTTCCCATGAAAAATTTTCGCTTCCTCATATAAAATTTATGTTACTATAATTTCGTTGAAATGTGTTGCATTTATATGAACTAAAATTTTGTAGCGTAAGCAAAATTAAATATGAAAATGATTTGAAATTACAACAATTGAGGTGAGTAAAGGAATTTATTGAAATATTTACTCATTGTCCACTGAATAATTCTTACTATACCAGCTAAAATGTTCAATGACAAATACTATAAGTACGTGAATCACTTTCAAACTTCTCAGAATTTGTTTATTGAATTGTTAATTATATGTAGTTTAATTAATTAATTAAGGCTAAGTTTTTTTTTTGTGAGATAAATTCTGTTGGTCACTATCCAAACTCAAACTCATACACATGACATATGATGTATTCAGGAATTTTAAAAATATATATATAAATATATATAAAAATATATATATTTTGTTTTTATATTTAGTTTTGCTCCTTATTAAAAATTATATAAATCTTTCTTAAAGGTGAAAGATATATCCTTATTTTATATTTCAATTTGAAACTGAAACATTTCATTGCAAACATTACAATTTATTCCATTAGTATTTTGCTATTAGGTATCGACTAGTCGTTAATATTTTATAGACACAAAATGCAGACAGTCCGGCGTCTTGAATAACCGTACAATTTTGAAAACGTGAGCAATAATAAAGAAGTCTTTTGGGAGCTGTTAGCCTGCCACCTATCATTACGGTTTAGTATTTTCCTTCATACCAGTGGGCGAATATAAACACTTCCATTAAATTAACGCCTACAAATAGAACATTAATTTTTATTTATTAGATTTGGTAACACTACAAGAAAAAACCACTATATTTTTTAAATTCACAAAATAGCCACTGTTATTTTTCTTAATTAATGAAACAATGATTTAAAATTTGTTTTGTAAACAGAAATGTGTATATATTTACTTATATATCCAATTAAAACACCAATTAATAGCAATCAAAAAATATACCATTACTTTATGAAGAAAATAACTTTAACTTAAGTTACTATGATTTAATATTATTAAATAATTAAATATTTATCTTCAAAAATAGATCATGAAAAATGTAAATCGGTTTTATCTTTTACATATTTTTCTATTCTGGATTTGAAGGAATTTTTTAATTGATCTCCTAAAAAATTATTATTTTTTTTTAATTTTTAAAACATAAATATAAATAAAGTATTAAAAAAAATAAATTATTAATAAAATACATTTTATTATATGTTTTCTTTTTATATAGTAAAAGTAAGTAACATGTTTATTGACTGCATTTAAAAAACTGTCAAATTTAAATAATTTCAAATTTTGAGTATAAAAGAGCACAGATACTATCTTGTCTCTATTCATAAAATTTTTACGTTTGTCAAATCAATAATAGAATTAAACAACTTATTTAAAATCATCTAAAAATAATCTATAAATCTCATGAAAAAAGTGCCATTAAAAGACATTATGGTCCTAGAAAGAAGCATTACATTACTACATAATTTTAATATAATATATAAATATAATGCAATAAATATAATTCACAATTTACATTATATATCAAAAATTATTCAATTAAGTCTGTTCATTTCATTATATGTTCTGGTAAAATGGCTTTCTTATTATTAAATAAGTCGGCATTAAGTAGCTGAATTATTAAGTGTGTTGTAATTGCGGTTTTTGTAATTACACCTTTATGTTAATATTAAACAAAGAATTAAGTTTAAAATTTTTTTTCTCAGTTTACTAAAAACTTGTGTCAAATTGATTTCAATTGTGTAAATTCAAATTGATTGAATGTGTACTGCGTTATCACTACACAGCCCCTGCGTTATCACCACAAGTGTAACCTGTCTACACATAGAGACAAATAGTTTTTTTTAAAAACAGTTATAATTTTACAACTTCCTCTTAACGTGGGATAATCATCGTATAATGATACTGTACTAAATTCTTTTTATTTTACTAATCGTTTTACACTCGCATGTTTTTTTCGACTGACTTTGCTACAAGCATAGGTTTGGAGTTCTTGAGTACGTCATTCTTGATATATGGCCAATATATTTCAGTTGGAGGCAATCCACTGAATATAAATCATGAAAATTTAATAACAACAAAAACATATCGTGTATTAGCCATCGGTGCAGTTTATAGACATAACTTTGAGATACCACCAACTAATATACACAGAGGCCAAAAAGCAATTTACTAGTGCCGTGATGTACATTAATGCATAATATGCTTAATTATTAGGGTTGTAATAGTAATATGATCTTATTAAATGTATATATCAAACCTAGTTTAATTCACATGATAATTGACCGCATAATAATTTAAATGATCAAATCCTTTTCATGAAAAACTAAAAGGTTGTTTCGAGATTGAAAAAAGGTTTCAACAGAGAAGAATTTTTTCTGTGCTGGACGAGATCAACAATCTATCCATCTGAAGTTAAATGTATATTCGAAGAACAACAATTGCATCGGATAAAA